GGGGACCCGCTAGGCCTTGTGACCCACTTTATTCCTGTCACAACTCGGGCACGTTTGGAGCGGCGCCCAATGGGGCGCCGGGGCGGCCAGCTCCTCCGGGGAACCCCCGCCCTGCCGGCCCGCGCGCCGCGGTCCGCAGTCCGAGCGGCGGCCGCCGCCCGTGGGCTGGTTCCGTTAGTGGTCGTGGTTCCGGGGCTCGGTTCCCGGGGAGCGCGCGGCTCCGCGCGTCCGGCTCGGGCAACTGCGCGGGTTCGGGAGCTCGAGGCGCTGCGCCAGATCTTCCTTCTGGCGACCCGCGCCTCCCTGCGCCTTGTCACCACCGCAGCTGGCTGTTCTAGATCCCTTTCCGCCCGAGAAGCTGTAGTCTGTGTGTAGCTGGTCCTGCGCTCTGGCCCCGGTGTGTAATTTCCAACACGTAGCGCTGCAGAGCTTACATTCTTCGGTGTTTTCGCTGGTGTAGAAGTCGTCCTGTTGATGGTAATAGTGAGCAGGATCCAGTAAGATAAATGGCTCGGCCTCTGACCTGTCGGATGAAAGATCGAATCAGTGGTTGTTTCTTGCTATTAGGATACCGGGCTAAAGGACTTCAAGGCTTATTAGCCTTGAAAACATTGATTCTTTTTTTTTTTTTTTTTTTTTTTTTTTTTTACAGTGAAAGGAAAGCACAAGAAGAAAGTTTTACAGTCATTGTTGATATGACTATTATGCTGGTCCCCCAGATCAAAAAAAAGGTAATTTCACTTGGAAGATTGCATTCTAACTTGTAGCTTTATTTTTAGGGATAAAGAATTGTGGAGTGTTTGTTCCTTCACCTGCTTCAAAAACAAACGTTTTAAAAAGGATATAATTTAGCTAACGAATTGGCTTCTTGAAAGCTATCCCTTGGGAACCTCAAATCTGGTTTGTTTTAAAATTTTGTTGGGGGAAGGAAACTAACTCAGGTATTATGTAGTTGAATGAACAGAATGTCATTAAAGGTTAGCCAGAAGAAGACAGATGAAAGTTGTGGTAGAACTAGTCATGATCAGTTGTGAGAGAAAGAATGAGGAAGCTTTTTGTGCCCTGGCATGGAAAGATCTCCAGAAGATGTTATAGAGTGGGAAAAAAGTCCCTCCCCACCCCCCACAAAAAGGTGTAGGACAGTGTGAATAATGTGCTACTTTATGTGTTAAGGTGTGGGGAAGGAATAAGAATGTATACTTATGTTTGCTCTTCCATTATAAAGAAACTGGGAAGATTCTGGAGAAGAAATAAGGGGGGCGGGGGCCGGTAACCTGAAGAAGGGAGGTGGGAAATGAGAGGCACACTGTGTCTTTGTATTTAAAACTCTTGGTGGCTGTGTTACAGATTCATAAACTAGATTAAACCAAAATCCTCTTCTCAGAATAATTTGCTATGTGGGTTTTGTCTGTCTGCCTGTCTCTGTTCTATTGCTTGTTGTGGTTTTGACCATTTTCAGTATGATTTCCCTTTATATTTCTTAGAAAAATGAACTAACATTGAAAGAAAATTTAGGATAAGTTTGGCTCTTTCTACTTTAATTTTTAAGATGCTAAAGTCACAGACTAAAGATATTTAGTTATATTTTGCTTAGCTAAAATATATAATGGTATTTACATTGGGCATTATGGCTGGATTATGCTGTTTTCAGAGTACAGCTTTGTGTCTCCCTGTTTTTTCGGGAATTATAGTTGTATAAAATTTCACTTTTTTTAAAACTCCTAAGTTGTGATAATTGGAGAATATGAACACCTCATTACAATGAAAATAGACTTGATTTTCCAGGTAGTTTGCTTTTCAGACTGGGAAACTTTTTTCTCTTAAGGAAAGCAGACATGAACCTCGATTTCTGAAATTTGTTTATATAGTTCTTACGAAAAATTAAAATATATTTGAGGGGCAGCATTCTATTAGTGCAATAAAACTTTTTATGATTTATGGATTGCTATAAAAATTAAGATTTTTTTTTTTTTTTTAACTGCCAACCTAACCTTTTTAACTAGGTTACAATTGCAAAAGGGCTTTGTTAGAGTGGATGTAATTTTTGAGGGGAGGGTACTGAAACTCCCTCTGGTGGCTAATAGTGTATAATCAAAGTAGTGAATGTTGAGTAGTGGGTGACAGTTACTGTCGGCATTTTTGTTATGTAACCAGTATTCCTTTTTATTTTGTAGGTTAAGATAATTGTATTATTTCTGTTTGATTTGTAGGTATCTAGTAGCCAGACTTCTGCAAAATGGCATTTAGTTTTCTTTTGAATTCCATGTAGGTCTGTTAATCCTTTTTGAAAAAAATAGAATCACATTTCCAAGTTTTACTTAATTTTGTTTTTAAAATTATGGAAGTAAATTGATGCTCATGAAAACAATACAATATGTATATAAGTGAAAACTTCCTTTGCACACTTACGGTTTTATTTCACGTCCCTCCCCAGAGATAATTGCTATTAACACTGTTGTATAACCTTCTCTATCTTTTTCTGTGCATTTATAAACCTAGACTTTTTAATATTGAAAATCTTAGCTCTCTACATTGGGTTCTGTACTACCCACAGGACAGGGATATGACTTGGAGTATGTCAGAAAGTTTAACTAACGTGGTATATACCTCTTAGAACATACTCCTCTTTTCATTTGTGAGGGGTCAGTCAGCTTGGGGTGCATTTACAGTTTGCAGTAAGGTCCTGCTGATGTGAGCTTTATCTGGTGTAGATTGTATTTATCTGAAAGAGTTGGGTTTCCTGGGTTTTATAGGACTCTTTAGAGTCTACATTTTAGGGTTTTGTTTGGGTTTTGACCTGGTCAGTAGCTCACAGGTTAAACTTTGATTTTTATTCTTCTGTTCTTGCAGACAAGAAACTCCCTAGGTTACATGAACCTTTCCAGGTCCTTTGAAGTGAAGATAGGTAAACTCTGTCCTTAACTAAGGGACACTGATTGACTTGGCTGGAATCTAGTCTTTGAGAGGGAAAGGAGGAGAAGAGGCCTTTTAGTCTGGTTTGTACTTACCTGACAGCAGACAAGGAGTATGCATACCTCCATCCACCTCCTATTTCCTTCTGCAAGAGAACACTACCTTTCTAATAATTCTTTTCAGGTGATAGAGTGTGCAGAAAGTTCAGAGTATGAATCAAGACTAAATCTTTACTGTTTAGTGTTTACTAAGCTATGTGAGATACATAGATTTCAGTACATTGACCCTGCCCCCTGTGGGTCTGATGTCTAGTATAGTTAAAAGAGCATGTACATAAGGATTATGACACAAGATAGAAATGATCGATTCCAGAAGAAAAATATACATGAGGTTTAAAAGGGTGAGACTGTTTCCAGCCTTTTGTTTTTGCAGGCGTGGGATTTAGAGGGAGAGTTTATATCTCATCCTTTTAAATAATTAAGAAAGGATAGGAAGGATAGACTGAGAAAGCTCAAATCTTAAGCTTTTAAAGAGTAAGCAAGTAAGGAGTTAAGTTGTGTTGTTGCAGCAGACGTTTGTAAGACTAATTGATAGTTGCTTTTTTGGTTTTATACTAGTCCACAGGAAAGAGCCATTTGATGTTTAATTTGATAATTATAGCCTCTTTGAGATTTCAGGATTGTTAGAAATATTAGGAGATTTAGTTCTGTCAGTTAACTATTATCTACCATCTAATATGTCGGGAGATGTTAGTAATAAAAGTAAATTTCCTTCTTACCTTATTTCCTTTCCTGAAAGCACATATTTAATATACCTTCTCTCCCACAGTTTTACTCCTACTGCTATGTCAGTTAAATATTTGCTGCAAATATTTTAAACTGTGAAAGCAAACAACAACCTTGTGAAAAATCAAAGTTCCACATTATAGCAGTATTACCTTTTGTTGTTTGTGTGTGTTTCCTTCCAGTTCTTTGCAGAGGCATAAAGTAAGTTTTTTTATGTGTAGTTTCTTATAGGCCTTGTACTAGTAAAGATTGCATTTTCTCTTTTACCAAGTCTAAAATTCTAGATGCAATTGTATGAATTACTTATAGAATAAAGTGTCAGAGCAATTTCTTACAAGTTGACTGTAATTATTATAACGACATTTATATTTATAGGTTGCTTTTACAGCCATTTGTTAGTCATTTTTATAGCTCTGTTAACAACTTCTGTGAATTAGATGGATAGGAGTTTCCAGTTTTTCTCCATGTTATTAGTTATACAAATGTTAAATTACCTAAATTCATCCTCATAAGTATAGTGTCACCTCTTGAGTTGTTAAGTATTTTTGGTGTGTATTTTACAAAGATGTAATTCTGCTTATTATTTTTAAGTCTTAGAAGTCTCCATAAAGAAATCACTTTGTAAAAATTAAATATTTATGAATTGTTTTTGACCTACAGTATACCGCTTAGGATGTGGCTTACTTTGTTTTTCAGAAATATTTTAATTTTTACATTTATATGGTCAAATAGTAAAACAGGAATTCCCATATTTTTCAAAGAGTTCATATTTAGTCAGGTACTTAAGTTTTTAATTCTCATTCAGAATAGTGGAAAATGAAAACACAGGTTGGTTCACCTTAAGAGGTTTTGTATTTGAAAACAAACAAAACCAACCACAGATGGGGGTTTTATTAGTAAGGGTTAAACCATATGCCTAATATAGAGTTTATTATTTGTATTAAATCATGGCTTAAATGTACACAGTTGCCTTTGTCTCTTTTTAAATCTCTTCCCCCCAGTTATGAAAATAGCACATCCCTAACATAGAAAATTTGGGAAACAGGAAAAAGCATGAACTAAATTTTTAAAATATCACTGGAAATCCCACTACAAAGAGGTGCCATTGTTAACCTTCTGGAATAGTTTCTTGCTTCATTTTTTTAGCCATTATATAAATATATGTGTACTTGAAGACACTTGATGTTTACAAAATGGGCTCATAATGCATCTACTGTAGTGCATATTCTCTCCCCACCCCATGTTTATTTATTTATTTCCTTATTTTGAGGGAAAGCCTGCCTGGAAGGAGGTGGGGTGGCGGGAGGTGGGGTGGAAATCCATCCTAAGCAGGCTCCTTGCTGTGCATGGAGACTGACACTGGGGACAGTGAGATCACAATCTGAGCCTGGTCTGAGGCTTTACCATCTGAGCCACCCAAGAGCCCCTGTAGTGCAAATCATTCTATTCACTTAACAATGAATCCTGAACATTTTTATTTTTATGTTGGTAGTTTTCTACAATGTGATTATTTTTAATGGCTGTGGAGTACTCTCCTCTAGGTTTGTGTAACAATTTACTGATCTTTTCGCATGGACACTTAAGTTATCAATTTTTAAAATAATGTGTCACTCTTGAATTAGAATTTAAGTAGACTGATACTGAATTTGTATTAATATCCAGGATAAACCAAACTTTTGTGCTTTTGCTGAAAAAAATGTTCCATAAGTATATAATAAATTAATAATGACCTATAATAAAGTGAATCTATATTTTATTTCTAAAGTGTGTTTTACTGAACTGTATTAAGTTAACTTTTTATGAGCATAAATCATTTGGATAGTAGTGTTCTTGAACAAGCCTTCTAAGTAGGGTGGGGATCTGTGAAGCAGTCAGTACACGCAATTAAAATGAAGTTCAACAGGGGCACCTGTGTGACTTGATTGAGCAACCGACTTTGGCTCAGGTCATGATCTCGAGGTTTGTGAGTTCGAGCCCTACATTGGGCTCCCTGCTGACAGTCTGTCAGTGCAGAGCCCACTTCAGATCCTCTG